CAGAGTTTCCTGTAATTACATATCTCCCTTCCACCAGAGACTTCAAGTTCCTTGAGGCCAGGAATTATGACCATGTTTTTCTGGATTATGTACAGGTGGCACTTAATAAAAATACTGTATGAGTAAATACTATCCCCGTATAATAGTCCAAGAGGCTCCAACAATAAGTAGTTTTCACACTTAGCAAGTATGGTAATGATTCTAAAATAAACAAATGCAAGAAATTATTTCTGGGTATGCTGTAATCTTATTTTGGTTAATTTTAAGAAAATTAATAAACATTGTCAATATTACCCATACTAAAGCTAGTTTTCAAATGATGTAAGGATATTTACAATTTGCTACAGGCATTCTCATAGGCCCATATTTTACCTGCCCTTCTCCTCCTCACATTTAAGATTTAAACTTTTCTTTTAGAAGGAAGAAGGGAGAGACAGACAGACAGACACGGGGCAGTAAATGTGTGTTGCTAGGGATCAAATCCAGAACCAGCGCCCTGTGCAAGCACTACCACTAAGCAACATCCCCACCCCTGCAAAAGCTCACTTAACTAAGCAAAACTGGGCCTTGTTTCCAGGAAGCAACCCAATAAAGAGCAAAACAATACTGTCAACAGTAAGAAAAATGTTTAATGCCTTTAATTTCTATTCTATTTCTCAGAACTCAAGAAATCTGCTATAATTTATCCTACGTCATTCAGAAAGAGAAAATCTACAAACAAGGAATCATAAGCAACTCTGCTTTTATGGGTTTCACTAGATTCTCCAACTCATCTTTTGGTGAGGTAAAAATTCTGAATATAAGTTAATTCTTTTGTAAGTCATAACCAACTTAAGTTCCACAAAGGTGCCAAAAACATACACTGTGGAAAAGACAGTGAAAACTGAATATCCACATGCAGAGAAATTAAACTGGACTCTTTTTTCTCACTATCTACAAAGCCACTAGAAACTGACTGAGACTTAAAAACATGACCTGAAACTATGAACCTATTAGAAGAAAACAGGAAATATTACCAGACACAACTGGGTAAGGACTTTTTGGATAGAATCAAAAGTCATAGGCAGAAAATCAAAATTAGACAAATGGTATTATATCAAACTAAAAAGAATCTGCAAAGCTTCTGCACAGCAAGGGGAAAACAAGGTAGAGACAACCAACTAAACAGGAAAATATATTTACATCTATATACCTGATAAGTATAAATCTGGTAAGGAGTTAGTATCCAGAATATATAATAAGGAAGTCAAACAACTCAATAAGAAAAAAAAAATCTAATTAAAAAATGGGCAAAAGACTAATAGAATTTTCTCAGAAGATACACAAATGGCCAAAAGGTATATAAAAAAAAAAAAGCTCAACTTCACTAATCATCAGGAAAATGCGAATTAAAACCACAATAAGGAGGCAGTGGGTGTAGCTCAGTGGCAGAGCATGTGCTTAGTATTCAGAAGGCCTTGAGTTCAATCCCCAGCACCAACATGAAAGGGGGAGGGGAACCCACACAAAGCAAAAATACTGCCTCACTCCAGTTAATGACTAATATCAAAAAGACAAAAACAAAACTACCATATGACCCATCAAGCTTACTACTCAATATATATCTAAAGGAAATGTTAAATAGATATCTGAAGTTCCAAGTTTAATGCAGCACCATTCACAATAATCAAGATATGGAATCAACATACATGTCCACCCAGCCTAAGAAAATAAAGTCAGTATTTTCAAGGGATAGCTGCACTTCCATGTTTAATAACCAAAATATGGAATCAACCTATGTGTCCATCAGTTGATGAATAAAGAAAATGCTGCATATATATGTAATATATGTGTATACATACAAACATACGCACACACATATACATACACAATAAAATGCTATTTAGCCATAAAAAGGATGAAATCTTGTCACTTGTGACAACATGGACAGAACTGGAGGACATCTATGTTCAGTGAAATAAGTGAGACACAGAATGACAAATACCTTCAGTCATACATGGAATTTAAAAACTCTGATTACCAGAGACTGGGAAAGGGAAGAAGAAAGGTGATGAAAGGTGGTTAGTCAATAATAGAAAGTTACCATCAGTTAGATGGGAGGAATAAATACTCTGTTACACAGCAGGGTAACATAGTTAGCAATAATGTAATATCTATTTCAAAACACCTACAGGAGGAGATTTTTATTTTTCTTTCTTTCTTTGAACTCAGGCTTCCCACTTGCTAGGCAGGCACTTCACTACTTGAACACACCTCCAGCCTCAAAAAGGGGATTTTGAATGGTCTCACCACAAAGAAATGATGAGTGTTTGAGGTGATTCAAACTTTGCATGACATACACATGTATTGAAGTAACACATTGTGACCCACAACTATTTTTTTTGTATCAATTAAAAAAGAAAGTAAAAAGCTATTAAATGCACACACATTTTAAAATGCACACATTATAAAAGCACTGATCAGCACTGACAGAATATTAACTCTAAAGTCGGTTAGCCTTGACAAGTTTATTCATCTTGGCTTTCTTGAAACATGTCAATACTGCAGTTTTATAGGGAAAACTAAAGTTGAATGATAATCTCAAGGTTAGAAAGCAAGACATAATTTCTAGCTTCTAGTGCTCCAATAAATTCTCTATATTAACCACTGCTTTGCTCAACTTCATAAAAATTGCAAGTAATAATTATAAAGAAACAATGTTTCAAGTTACCTCCATTTGACAGGATCACTAAAGAAATAGTTTACTCTTTAAAAAACAGAAATGTTATAGAGGGAATCAAACATCAAATATATCCAATTCAAACGGAGATTACTGTTAAATGCATTCAAATTACTGTGGATTGAAGTGCATGAAACAATTTGTAATTTTTGAAATCTACCTAGAATTTATTTCATTACTGTTTGATGTTTTCTGTTAGCAGTCAATAAAAACAATTTGTGTGTGCTAAGATTAATCACTTCATAAAATAATACAGATTACTTTCATTGTAATTTTTAAAATGTTGTTTCATTCATTAAAAATAATTTTAAAGCAACAATTTTATGTTATCACACACTTGAAAAAAAAAAAAAAAAGCACAGCTTGCATGAGATTCATTTCCCAGAATCCTCCCTCCCCCCCCACCCGCTACCACTCTCAGGTACTGGGGCCTGCACATCGAGCCATTCCAGCAGCCTTTTTTATGATTTTTTTTCCCCCCAGACAAGGTCTCGAGAACTATTTGCACTACTAGCTGGCTCAAACAGCAATCCTTCTGATCTCTGCCTCCTGAGTAGCTAGGGTTACAGGCGTGATCTCCGGGCTCCCCAGAATTATTAATCCTGGTTAAATGCTGCTAGCCAAGAGTATTTACAGTAATTAGCCTAAAACTATTAGTAGACACAGTAAGTGGGAAAATACCTTCAAGCAAAAGCTAGATTTTAATACTTTTCACTGGTCAAAGGCTGACTCTTCTAGTAAATGAAAGATTTTCTATTACCCTACTGAAACGATTTGCATATTTAAAATAAGTCTTTAAGTCCAAAGACCAAGTAAGAATAGTGGATATTTTTACAGCAGAGAAATTCCAACAATTCTTAAATACTAAGAAATTTAAAAGGATGAGAAAAACTTTTAATTTTGCCTCCAAACCTATGTTACCTTGAATGGGAAGCTTTCTGATTATATACACTCCCGGACAAGTCAACACCTGACCTCACAACGTTCTTTTTAAAATAATGAACAATCATCAAATAATTCACGACAATAAAGTATACAGAGCAATGGACATTTCTTTGCATATGATGAAGTATCCCTGACCTTATGAAGAAAAGATTTAGGTCTGAAGGCTAAAAACAAGTAGTAAGACTTGTAATCTACTCCGAAATGCTAAAATGGTCCACCACTTCCATCTTAGTAGTTCCAAAACAAATTTTGTATAATGATACCTTCACAAGTCAACTCTTAATGTGACCTGTAAAAATTGTCTTTTTCCTCCTCAAATAAAGAATTTAACCAAAATCTTCACCATGGCCAGAAGCAGGTCCTTCGAATTTCATACATAACTGGAGGGCTTGTGATCAAGTCCAACGAGCAAAGTAGCGTTAGTAACATTCTAAATCCTCGTTATAAGCAGTTACTGATAAGCACTGTCCTTGGGCGAGAAAAGAAACAGGAGGTCCGAAACTGACCCCAGTACAGATCCACTTTACCTCAGTCCTCTCTCCACCTTCACCAAAAGACCAAACAGGGAAGCCTGCAAGAAATGTGGAGTGGGGCTGGGTGCGCAGGGGAGGAAATCATACTCCTCCAAAGGGGACCACCGACCCCAGATCAGACGCACAGAGATAGCTTCTCTCCGTGGAGAAGCGAGCAACCTGTCTGTGGAAGCCGTGCACCAACCAAGCCAAGGCAGGAGTGGACAGTCTCCGCCACCGCCCCTTCCAGAGCGCCTCGCCCAGCTCCAAGGGGTCGGCCGGGGACTGCCCGGTGGAACATCAACAAAGACCCCTTCCGTCGCCAGGCGAAACTCGAACAACAAAGGCCGGGAGACAGCGAGGCCGGGGCCGGGGGCGGGACGGATGAAAGCAGGCAAAGGGCTCCAAGCAGAGGAGGCGGAGGCCCGTCCGAGTGGAGGCAGAGGCGCGGAGCACGGTAATCCCCATGCACATACGAAGAGAAAAAGGACTCAGTCTCCGTTCCCTCCCGGACCCTCCCCGATCCCCGCCGTCTACACCTCGGTCTCCGGAACCGCACAGACCCGAGGTCGGGGAGGGGAAGAGGAGGGAGAATTTTCCGCCCAGATCACAACTCCCTTCCCCCAGCCGGGAGCTGCAGACGACAACAACCGCCACCACGGCCGCCACACAAAGGCGCCTTCCTCGCGGTCCCCACTCCCGCCCGGGCGGCGGCGCCGACGACGCCGAGGCAGCGACGACCACCGCTCGGCCGCCTGGCGCTCGCTCGCCCTCTTCCCCCTCGAAGCTGGGGAAAGGGGGAGGGGACCCCGGGCGGCCCTCACCTGGCACAGCTGCTGACAGTACTCGGTGGCCGCGTCCACGGCCGCCACCCGGCTCTCCCGCAGCTGTCGCTCCAGCTCCTGGAGCCGCTCGCCCAGGCGCTGCAGCTCCGCGACGCAGCCGCCTCCGCCGCGACTCAACCTCTCCTGCTCGGCCTCCTCGTCCGCCATCTTCACACCCCGCTCCGTCGCGTACGCACCTGGGTCACGTGATAACACAATGCCACGTTCGGCGGGGTCACGTGCCGGGCGCGCTTGCACGCCGCCGAGCACGTACAAAGGGGCCGGGGTGGGGAGCCGGGGACCGGGGGAGGGATCCTGGAAGGGGGGGGCGGGGGAAAGAGCCTTGGGGGGCGGGGAGAGTGGCGCGCGAGAGCAGGGGGGAGGTGACAGCAAAGGGGAGAAGGACCAGGACCGGGGGGAGGCGCTGCGCCAAGCCGCGGTTCGCTCACCCGAAGCGGGAAGTGGGGCGCCGCAGCCGAAAAGGGCGGCAGGCCGGGGCCTGCTGTAGGTCACATGTGCGCCACGGCTGGAAGAAGCCTGGGGAGGGAGGGATAGATGGATGGATGGATGGATGGATGGATGACTGCCCTCTCCAGCGTCGCCGTGGCTTTCTCCAGTCCCCCCCCCACCCCCCGCCCCGAGGATAACCAGAGGAGAGCTCTGGGTGGCCAGAGGCAAGGGCAGGGGCAGAAAGTAATACCCATTCGTGGACCAAGAGCTTGGGAGCCAAAGCCTGGCTAGGAGCTGTCACAATTGTCTCCCGACTTCTTACCCGGCGCGGGAGGAGGGATCCAGCGCGTGAAGTACCAGATCTCGTCCCATTTGACTTCTGTGTTCAGCCCGAGAAGGCCTCTCTCCTGGAAATGCATTCTCTAGGGGGTCGGGAGGCAACAAAGAAAAATAACAACTGGGTTAGCGCAGAAGGAGGTTTAATCTTCAGATTGGAGAACTGAGCACATTCGTGAACAGCATACCTTCAAAAGAATTCACACTGTGAAATTATGAACGTTGCAGCCAGATGATTTTTTAAGTCATAAAAAAAAAATTCTGAAATAAGTGATAACCAACTAAACTGATTCACCATGATTTAAGACTTTCTTGTCCGCACCACAGAAATCACCAACATTGAAAGCAAGCTATATATGAAAGCTCTTGAAAAAAGGTCAAGGAAAAAAAAAAAACAACCCAGCAATAAGGACTCCTAAGTCGTTAAGGAGGAGAGAAAATTGATGCTAAAAGTACAAGGTGATCAAGAATTATTGTAAATATCAATAGCATTTTCCCCTGGTGCTACAAATAAAGATGACATTCAGAACCATATTTTACTTAGAAGAAACACTGCGAAAATCAAAGTTCATAATAAAAGGAGTATTTGTTAATATTAGAGCCAAGAGGCCTTTCTTTTGTCCTACAGGAGTTCAAAAACAATGATACAGCTGAGGTACCTAGTCTTTCCATTAGTATGTTCTGATTGAAGTATATTTTTCTAGTACAAACATCTAAAAAAAACTCTGCCTGGTGCTGTAGTACATATGTATAATCCCAGTACTTGGGAGGCTGAGGCAGGAGGATCGCCAGTTGGAGGCCAGCCTGGACTACATAGTGATACCATGTCTCCAAAAAAAAAAAAAAACCAAACTATTCAGTATACTTTTCAAGAAATTTGTAGTAGTTGTGAAAGTGTTCTAGATAGTATGTTGTCCAGAAGAAATGTTTTACAATGCATCTGTTGTTGTCATATTTTAAAAATAACCTTACATAAGTTGATCAGGCACACTGAACCCCTTAGGAGAAACAGTATCAGTTAGTATTACATATTAACTCTTGTGGAAGAGACTAGGAAGTTCAAGGAAAGGCTAAGGAGAAAGGATACACTAGTATCACTGACAACTGAAAAAGCAACAATTACCGCAGCTAACTTTTTTTGGTGTGGAGTTGGGAGCGGGAAGACAGTACTGAGGAGGAACCTAGGACCTGAACACATGCTGTACCACAGTTACATCCCCAGCCCTCTGCTAGTAATTTTTAATATTTGCAGCTCGCTTTCCCAGTTAAATAATTTAGAAACCAAATGAAGTTTTTACCAAAATATGTTATTTTAGAATTCCAATGGAAAATATAAGTGAGATATAGATTAACCAAACACACCAGAAAATCCCAAGAACACGTAAGGTAGCAAAGGTTAGCAAAGTCCATTTTCAGTTCAATTGTAATGACTTACCCCACACCTAATCTATAGAAAGGAAGAAAGGGGAGAGAGGTGGGAAGAAACATCCAAACAGAAATGTACCCAGACATTGATTTTTGTAAGAATTACCTTGTTGGGGATGTGGCTCTTTGGTAGAGTGCATGGACACTGGGTTGGATTCCCCACTGGGGGAGTAGAGAGGAGAGGGGGGAATTAATTACCTGAGAGTATAGGTATGTAGGTCATTCCTATCCTCTGCCTATGATAACTGTTAAAACTAAGGAGACTTGGTTAGCATACTGATTCATAGTATGATTACTGCCTGATAACTGTCCATCAGTATGGACTTTTATTTAGTGTCTGTGAACCCTACTTCCCTGTTCCTACATGTTTTTTGATTCCTTCTTATGGCCTCCTGCATAGCTGGGATTATAAGCGCCTATCACCTGGTTGGCTTAATGTTTTGTTTACTTTGATTTCCTTTTTTTTTTTTAAGCTTTTTTTTTTTTTGTCGTTTTCGTGCTGGCTTATGATTGAGTGTGTGTGGGGTCACTAACTTTTTCCCCCAGGCTGGCCTCAAACTGACATCCTCCTGACCTGTACTCCTGAGTAGCTGGGATTACAGGCACCGCACACCCAGGCCAGTCCTATTACTACAGACCTTCCTCTTTGCATACGTGTAGAAATATGTAAAGCGTCCAGGAAATGTAAGGACTGAGGGATGAGTGATATCATTAATACTTGTTGAATACTTGCTATTCACAGGCGGTATCTGGTTTTGGAAAAGTGAAAGTGAATAAAAACTATCCCTGCGTCGGAGGAACGTCAAATTTTGCGGGGAATGTGGTCCACGATGGCCATACATACAATATCACAAATGTTCTTTTATGAAAATGCATGGAAATTCAACTCAGAACATCAAGAAATGTAAGGTGCTGTCTGGTTGGAGATGTCCAGTGAATCTCTACAGAAATGTGGGTTATTTTTTCCTAAAACAGAAGAATTGGAAATGTTCCTTTACCTGTTTCGCCCTTGTCTTAGAATCTGAGAAATTCCATTGTTATCCATAGAAAAGATGTATTAATAAATTCAGGGTGAATTTGATAAGAGTACATTATATGCATGTATGGAAATGTCACAACGAAACCCCTTTGTACAACTAATATACACAGGTTAAAAAGAAGGAAAAAACCGCACATGACTTACTGTACCTAAGTCCATTTGTTCATTAAGTACCAAACTGTCAGGTCACAGGAACACACACACACACACACACACACACACACACACACACACACACACACACACCTTCTTACTAAGAAGTTCCTAGGGGAAATCGGAGATCCTTTCCATAAAGCAATAATAAGCCCCTAGGTCAAGAGTCTCCTCCTTTCTGGAGAAGTCTGTATCCGCGCACGGAGCACCCGCCCATTTTGAGCACAGTGCAACTGCTCTGGGCGTGCTAGAGCCTTCATTCCTTAAAGACTCTATTTCATTGTAGATTTGGGCGGCAGATAGAGACCACTATATCCACCCTTGCGATCAATAAATCTGGGGACACATGGGGAAGCGGAAAGATGCTTCCGGGTCGCGCCTGCCTGTTTCACAAGTTCTCGCGGCTGCCCGGGCTGCACCCAGCGCACACACCGCGTGCGCTGTTTTTCTGGAATTCTTGAAATAGCAGGGCCTACGGACAGGAAGAGAGCTGGCTTGTGGCCTGTTCCAAGCAGAGGCGGTGCTGAGCCAGGGCCGCGCCGGGGACACAGCGATCGTGGCGTCCGCAGACGACGGATCACTCGGGGATGAGGCCCCGCAGGGCCCTTCCCACTTCTAACGCAGAGAAACTGTGCACCGGGCCCTTGTCCAGCGCGCGGGAAGAAAGAGCGCGCGCGACCCCGGGCTGGAGCAGAGGGCGCGCCACTCTCGGAGCGCGGTTTCTCCCTTCTCCGGCCCTCCCCTGACCCCGGGCAAGAGAAGCTGGAGGGACCACCACCTCTGTCCGCTCTGCGCCTCCCCAAGGGCCGAAGCCGGCTCTGATTCCCCGGCCGCAGAGCGCGTAGAATTGGCCTATAGCTGAGGGAGTACTCGCGCTCCCGGTCCCCGGGCTTCCACCCGACGCTGCAGATCAAACCCGTACCCTGGCGGTGGCTCCTGGTCCGAGAACCCAGGCCTCCGGGGCCTACAGTTCGAGAGATTTTGGAGCCTCTCCCGACCGCGGCGGAGCCCGGGGCCTCCGGACACCGTCGCGGACGGGATGCTGGAGTTCCTGTGCTGCGGAGGCTGGCGACGCGGGCTCGGCCTCCTGGTCCTCCGGCAGGCTTAACCTGCTTCTTCCAAGCGCTGGGCGGGCCGCCCCAGATAGTCTTTTGAATAGACTCTGTTTGGAGTTCGGCCCAATGGAAAGTCTCTGTCTGGGAAATCTGTGGCTGTGACTCAGTGAGAGCTTAGATTGAAGCGCTATTTGCAGCTGTTAAAAAAATACACCGCATTTTCGGGGAAGACATTTTTTCTTGAGAGGAAGAGCAAAGGAGTCAAAATAAATAAACTGTAAACATAAGGCGGGTGCTGGGCCGCATAGTGAAATGATTCCAAAACACAGGAAACATTAAGCTCACATTAAATATTTAATGTGAGGATTAAATGCGAGGATTAATTTAAGTATTTGAATCTTCCAGAAAAAGCGTAATCAATTTATATGAAACAGATAATTGAGGAAGCATAGTTTTTATCTACTCTGATTTTTTCTTTCTATATGAGGAAGAGCCAAATGCAAAATGAGAGAGAGCAATAAGATTGTAAAGAAAATGCTTCTAACAGAGCCTCTATCATCCAACCTTGTGAATTAACCAAGATGAAAATAACCGTGAAATTAGGCAAAATAAAACCTTGGAAGCATAAATGTTGTATAAGTGATAGCTATAGAGCATCTTGGAATTTGTTCACAGTGTTTCTTGAAAGAAGCAAAGAGAGAAAGATACAAAGTACCTTTCATTTCTCAATATTTTTAATTTCTTTAAAAAAATAATTTTTGCAGTAGTGAGGATTGAATGCAGGACCTTGCACATGGCATGCACTGTACCACTGGGCCACATCCTCAGCCTTCTATTTCTAAATTTTAATCACTATACATCATTCACCCCATCAGAAATCTAGTGTTAGTCAAAAATCAAACGATATCGCTTTTGTGGCATTTGGATTTTAAAATATATGGCTGTTGAGGTATAATGAAGTTGGAAATGCACAGATCTCTTCCCATTTTAGAACATCAACTTTTTAAATGTTTTACTCATTTCCATCCATGTTTATTTAT